GCCTCCGACAAAAGCGTTTTGAGAGTCCGGAATGATGCCATCCAAAACTTTCCTCAATCTTGAAGCAAGCACCTTGTAGATACAACCCACAAAACTAATAGAGCAAAAATCCCTAACATTCAACGCGCCCCCCCCCCCCCCCCCCCCCCCCCCCCCCTTTTCTTTCAGAATGAGAGCAATGAACGTGGCATTCAAGCTTTTCTTAAAAGATCCCCGAGAATGGAAAGCATGAAAAGTGCCCATCACCTCCCCTTTAACCACCTCCCAGCACTCTAGAAGAAATCTCATGGTAAAACCATCTGGACCTGGGGCTTTATCCCCATTGCAACTCTTCAAAGCAATCAAAACTTCCTCTTCAGAAAAAGGCAACTCCAAGCCCAAGCACTCCTCTCAGTAAACTCCGCCTTGCACTCCGCCCTCCTACCCTTCAAAGCTTCCACCAAATCCCCTTGACCCTCCATCCGGTCTATAGCCGCAATCTCAGCAAGAACCCGATTTTTTCTCCATTCCAGATTCCCAAAGACCTCTTTATTCCAAGTCTTAAGATTCTCCTTTAAGAGACGCAATCTGCCTGCAAGCACATGACTAAGGGTGCCAATCATACCATACCCCTCCCACCAAAGATGGACCCTCTCCAGAAAACCCTCAGCCTGCAGCCACATATTCTCAAATCTGAAAGGAGAACGTCTACTACACAACCCGCCACAATCCAACATCAATGGAGCATGGTCAGAGATAGGACGAGCCAAAGTAGCCTGAACAACATCAGAGAACCTCTCCTCCCACTTCCCCGACACAAGGAATCTGTCAATCCGAGAAAGGGTAGAGGGAGAGCGACCACTAGACCAAGTAAACGGTCCTCCAACCAAAGGCAAATTGACTAGCCCAAACTCATCAATAAACTCCGAGAAAGCCTCCATATTAGATGTCCACCTACCTCCTGTTGACCTTTCGAACGGAAAGCGAACAACATTGAAGTCCCCTCCAATACACCAAGGCAAACACCATCGACTTCTAATTTCCCCCAACTCCTCCCAAAGCAAGTGGTGTTCACCGTCCTCTGAAGGACCAAAAACACCCAAAAAAACCCAATGAACACCATCCTCAACCAAAGCAAGAATGCATGAAACAGAGAAACGCCCAACCTGAGCATCCACTTTAGACACCCATCTATTATCCCACATGATCAAGATGCCCCCCGAGGAACCAATAGCATCCAAAGCAATCCATTCCACAAATCTCCCACCCCAAAGACTCCTCACAATCCTATCAGACATCGAAGCAAGTTTGGTCTCTTGGAGACACACCACATGACCCCCACCTTTACGAATAACCGACTTCACCACTTTCCTTCTAACCGGGTCATTGAGACCTCGGACATTCCATGAAAGAATTTGTAGCTTCATAGGGAAACACTTGGAAAAGCAAACCCTCCCCTCCTTCCGCCACCTCTCCCTCCGGATTTGACCCCCTATTTCTCCTTTCGTACGTGATAAAATCATTGGGACTTTGCATCACTGTCTCCCCTCTCTCCTCTTGCAACCCTACCTTACCACCCACCTTTTCCTTAAAATAAGAATTGGGAACATCATTAAACAAACACATCGCCTCATCCACCCTACCCTCAAAAGAAACACCCAACAAAGGGCCCACTTCCAAGCCCTTCTCCCTCACCCACTCCTCCTCAAGGTCATTCAAGTCACTAACCTAATTCCCCCCGGGCGGAACAACAGCCAAAGGTACATCCAAATTCATTGCTTGTTCCAAGCCTTCCCATGGAATCATGCCCGAGTCCCCATCAAAGGAAGAACCTACAACTCCCTCTCAATCATCAAGAACAAAAGAGGAATGCGAGCAAAACTGCGAAACAGGCTCCTCCTCTATCAAAATGCCTCCTGAATCACAAAGAAAGCCTTTCAAAGCCAAATGGTCCCGTAACTCCTTCAACAGAACAGAGTCCGTTTCATCATCAAGCTTCACCTTTACATCCCGACCTACACAAACCTTAACTCCCTCACACATACCTTAACTTCACCGAGAGAAACCAAGCCTATTCCTAATGAAGTCTTCGACCCCCCCAAAAAAGGAGAAGAAGTAGAAGAAGAGCACGGCTTAGGAGGAGAAGTATCAGAAGGAATTGAAAACATACCCGGATTGAAACCCGACTGCGAAGATGCCACCATTTTTGTTTATCCTTTCGTGACCACTTTTTAAGAAGAGCGGGAAGGATAATCTTTTTCTTAGGCAAACGATGCCTCAGCACCGGATCCTTCACTCTCTGATCAACCTTGACTCTCGCTTTCATCGAACCAGCAGCACAAGAATCTCTGTCATCTCTCGAGATGCAATTCTTACAGCTGTTTACATCATTAATAGAACTCTTTATAGGGTTCTTAACTTTGCAACCCCACTGTGAATCTAACAACCCAATTCATCTCTTTTTTTTAGCTTTCATCGAACCAGCAGCACAAGAATCTCTGTCATCTCTCGAGATGCAATTCTTATAGCTGTTTACATCATTAATAGAACTCTTTATAGGGTTCTTAACTTTGCAGCCCCACTCTCAATCTAACAACCCAATTCATCTATTTTTTTTATTCCTCCGCGAGTCTTTGGGCGTATGTGCTTTGTTCAGCAGTTGGGGCAGACTCGTACAAAGCTTGACCCCAAGGCTTTGAAGTGTGTGTTTTTGGGCTATTCTCTCTCTTAAAAAGTTTATAGGTGTTACCATCCTCCTAGTCATCGGCGGCTTATATCCATGGATGTTTCTTTCTTTGAGCATACACCATACTATAGTGGTTCAGTTGGTTCTCAAAGTGAATGGTTCCCATTGAATATAATGGATGATCACCTTCTTCCTTCTTCAACTCCTTTACCGTTACCTGTTTCGTCTTCTATGATTGCTCCTCATGATACCCCTCCAGCAAGGGGAATTGTTCCTTTTTCATAGGTTTATAGTCCGAGACAACAGGTACAAGCTTCTACTCCCACGATCGACTGGCCTGTTCCTTCGGCACCAGCTCTGCCTTCTTAAGCTGTTGTTTCGCTTGATGATCACCCCATTGCTCTTTGGAAGGGTAACATTCTTGTACATACCCTATTTCTAACTTTGTTTCTGATTATACTCTCTCACCCTCCCCTCGGAGTTTTTTTTGTTTTTTGTTGCATCGGTTCCTCTTCCTTTTAGTGTTGTAGATGCACTAACATAACCTCAATGGCGTGATACTATGACAGAACTACAAGCACTTGAGAAAAATCATACTTGGGACATGGTTCCGCTTCCTATTGGACGAAAGATTATAGGTTGTCGTTGGGTGTTTACAGTTAAGCATAATCCAAATGGGTCAGTTGCTCGTTACAAGGCCCGATTGGTTGCCAAGTGTTATACTCAGACTTATGGCATAGATTATCAGGAGACTTTGGTCCCTGTTGCCAAGATGAATACCATCCGTGTATTATTTTCTGTTGCTGCGATTCGATCTTGGACTCTATTTTAGTTAGATGTCAAGAATGCTTTTCTCAATGGTGATTTACAGGAGGAGGTGTACATGGTTCCCCCTTCGGGCTTTCGTTCTCCTGCTCATTCTGGTATGGTGTGTCATCTTCCTCGTTCTCTGTATGGCCTCAAGCAGTCTTCTCGAGCTTGGTTTGATCGCTTTGGCACTGCCATGCTCAAGTTTGGTTTCCATCAAAGTGTAGCTGATCATACCTTGTTTTTACGTCATTCAAGCAGTAAGACAATTGCTCTCATTGTGTATGTCGATGATATTGTTCTTACCGGCGATGATACTACCGGAATTGCTGAGATTAAGATCTATCCTGGCCGTCAGTTTGAGATTAAGGATCTTGGTCCCCTACGGTACTTCTTGGGCATTAAGGTGGCTCGCTCCAAGGCTGGCATTTTCATCTCTCAACGCAAGTATGTTCTTGACTTGCTTTCTGCTTCTGGTTAGCTTGGCGCTCGTCCTGCTGATACTCCGATTAAGCAGAATCATCGGTTGGCTGATTCTGGGAGTTGTTGTCAGATGTTGGTCAGTATCAACGACTTGTGGGGAAGCTCATCTATTTATCCATGACTCGTCCTGATATTGCTTATGTCGTGAGTCAATTCATGCACTCTCCTCGTACCCCTCACCTTGATACAACTATTCGGATCCTTCGCTACTTAAAAAGGGTGTCCGGGCTGTGGTATTTTGTTTGCCAATCATGGTCACTTACGTGTTGAGGCTTGGACAGATGCTGATTATGAAGGATTAGTTTCAGATAGGAGGTCAACTTCGGGTTATTATACCATTATTCGGGTATGTGAGTTGCTATGACTGAACACCTTGATGACAGACTTGTGCCTTCCAGTGTCGCTTCCATTCTCACTCTACTGCAACAACAAGTCTGCCATTAGTATAGCATCAAATCCCCTTCAGCATGACAAGATAAGCATATAGAGGTGGATCGTCACTTCATTCGAGAGAAGATCATCTCTGGTCAAATTTGCACTCCATTTGTCACAAGTTCTCAACAGCTTGCAAACATTCTTACAAAGGGCGTCAACAAGATTGTCTTTGAGAATGCATTATCCATACACCAACTTGAGGGGGGGTATTAACATATATGATATCCATGATGTATGAAATGACTTACCATAATAGCAGAGATTTGACTATGAATATGTTAGCATATATAATAGCCACGATTTATGGAATGACTTGCCATAATAGTAGAGATTGATAGCTACGATCTCTGCTACTTGGTAGTAGAGATTTGATTATACTATAGAATATGCCATAGAATATGCTTTAGAATATGTTGTGATTCGATTTAGTTTCCTTTCTTGTAATATGAGCATGTGGTCTTTTTACCTATAAACATTAGAGCTGTGAATGAGTGATTCATCTCATTCAAGCCTTTACACAATTCTCTCATTTTTCTTTTTTTTATATTTCTACTCATTGAAAGGCTAATTTTTTCCATTACAGCTCACGTTCTTTCAATTGCTATTGTAGTTGGAGCAATCCCTTCTTGTGACTGGGTTTGGTTATGAACATGATGATGCATGGGCTACCAACATAGATTTGTTCAAAGAATTTACAGATATCAGCCGGGTATGCTGATGCTTTTGTCTCAAGTTCAAAATTAAGTCAGTGAAATTGTGGAAAATCTTATCCCCCCACCTCCTTTTGGATTTTATTTATAGGGTGTGAGAAGGCTTGGTGCTGCAGCAGTGGACATGTGCCATGTAGCTCTAGGGATTGTGGAAGCGTATTGGGAATATCGTCTAAAACCATGGGATATGGCCGCTGGTGTTTTGGTAATTGGTTATTGGTTATTGTTATATAAATATTTCTTATATTTCTTCTAGATAGGCATGGGAAGATATATATATATATATATATATATACATATATATATATATATAGATATATATATGCAGTGAAATAGACAGTTATTGTTGTCGTAATAAAAATGAAATACTTTACAGCCTTCTCATTTTTTCTTTTTTGTTATGAACCTGAGCACGGTCAACACAAACTTAGCCTTCTTAGCTAGATAGGTTCGTATATCATCTCCAAACGTTTGGGTATCTCTTAAATGCATTCCTAGAATTGAGGCAGAGATTAAATAATTCATTAAAATTTTCAGGATTGTTTCTGAACCATTCATAAGTTGGTTATCTAGTCTCCCTTATGAGGTGCCAAGAAGTCCAGTCCATTAGTACATCTCACATCCACAAGACATTACTTTTCTACATCATGAAAACAAAGAAATATAATTGTTCGGTAGGTCTATAAATAATTAAATTATTAGCTCATCAAATATAAATAATTGCCATTGGGTATATGAAAGCTATTTTACCTATGTAGTACTCATAAAACTTGTGAATCAGATGCAAAATCACAAACTCTGAACATGTTGCTGCTTGGTGATAAGCTAAACCATGCAGCAAGACAGTTCTAGCCCGTGTTTCATACAAAATTACTGGAATATGTGTTGCACAAGTGTCGCAAGACAATTTTAAGAGACTTGAATGATGCAGAAAAGGCGTGGTTTGTGCATTGCAAGAGAAAAAAGTGAAAGAAATAAACTACTTTTCAATTTATGGGAAGTTCCACTTCCATTTTTTGCATTGGAACCCCCAGCTGCTCCCTGCCCCCCAAAACCAACCTGCGGAGGTTTCTGTGAGGGCAATGTCTAATTCCAAGGCTATTAAGTGTACATTTGAAAGCAGAGGATGAAATTGGAATAATCATTGATACATTATCTCAATCTCAAAAAATCCTTACTAACTTTTCACTGTTTGCACTTGGAACACTGTTAAATTGCAATGTTGCTTCTGAACATTGCGACACCTTCTTCAATATTAACATTTTAATCTCTTAACCAGCTCAATCCTTTATTCGTCTCCCTCTGTTCCGTACATTCTGCTCAATTAGTCAATCTTGAGAATTGATTACTTCAATTCTCACTTCCGACCAAGTTAGTCACTTTTGGTGTTCAAAATGCGTGTCTCAGTTATTATTATTATTTTTTTGTCTATTTTCATTTGTATTTCAAGTAGATAGTTGAAGAGGCTGGTGGGATTGCTTCTTGCATGGATGGTGGAAAATTCTGTGTATTCGATAGATCTGTCTTGGTGTCTAACGGTGTGCTACATGCAAAGGTTAGTCTTCTTCCTTTTTTTTCATGGAACTTGATTTGAACAGAACATTTAATTATGTTATCCAGCTGTCATGGAACTAGGAAAAATGTGCAATCACAAAAATGCAAAAATACCTGTTGGAATAATTGTGGAGTGTCATTTCCTTTTTTCAATAAATGGATGTGGAAGTATAAAAGTGGAGTGCAAATGTCATCTACCAATCTTGAATCACACATATTAATGCTTAAATTAAAAATGCGACAACCCATCACAAGATTCAAATTTAAAAAAGGACTAGAGAAGTTAGAGAAAGCACAAAACAAAGTCCACTAACACTTGAGTATAATGTCTATTTGACTTGACCACTATGTATAATAGTACAACTTTTTAATGAAACTATGCTCTTTGAATCAAACTCCTGTAATTCCTGCAGCGCACACAACATTTTACAAGTACAATAATCCTTCATGTGATTCAGGTTGCAACATGACGTTCATAAGATTCTTATGTACCAACTACTTTGAATATGATCACATTATGTGATTTCATACTTTGATCTATATTTAAGCTTAAGTTTCTTAGAGGGAAACAAAGAGAAAGCGTCTTACAGGGGTTTTGATGCCAAGCAACCCTAATGTTCTCAGGAAACAAATTGACTAAATGCAAATTCGATTAATATCAGAAATTTCTGTACAAAGTTCTCATATCTTTCTGTTTAGCAGGAATACAACCATTGACCCTAGTCACCCTACTAACATTAAATCTTAGCCTTTAGACAAGTTCAATCTCAAGTGTACATTGTAACATGAATAAGAAGTAAGAGGAAAAGACAATCCCCTAATAACTATGGCCATCCTTTAGCTATATAATGTGAGTTCGAAAGCCGAATTGGGTTTCTCATTAAATTTAAGTTATTTTCTCTCTCCCAGATGTAGAGGTGGAATAGAACACTTGATTGTCTACTCCAACACTTGTAGAGGTGAAATTTGTTCTAATTTAAACCAATTAATATTGTTGATTCTGAAATGCAGCTTTTGGAGAAGATTGGTCCTGCAACAGAGCAATTGAAGAACAAAGGGATTGATTTTTCGTTGTGGTATAAGCCTGAACATTACCACACAGAACTTTAACATGCCCAGAGTTTTTTTCCTTTGTTAAATTTGCGACAAAGATCTCCAAAGCAATCAGGTGCTGTTTTTATTTATTTTTGTTGCACCCTGAATTTTTTTTGAAAAGTTCCTGATAAACTGTGGTTTCATTAATTGATATCACTGATAAGAGCTTCTATTAGTCATTCGCATATCACTATATATAACCAGATATGCATCATTGGCCTACCACAGTTGTACATACATGCACGATGTAAACTGAGAGGTTATTATGATTTGTATATGTAGTCCATTTTTGTCCTTTTTTCTCCTGAAAAAAAGAACTGCAACATGAATGCGCTATTTCTATGCTGTCTTTTCATTGAGCTGTTAAAATAAGAGAGAAGGAAAAGCTGCATCATGGTAAACCAGTTTAACCTTTGAGATGATCGTAATGTGATAATTGAAATAAATGAAATTCTAATTTTCATAATAATTCCACAGGTTTTATTTTTTTCTAGACAGATGGCTTATGGATCCTCTCTTTCTTGCTTGCTCTCTCACACATCAAGACAATTCCTTTTTTTCTCCTTAATTATCTTTTATCGTTTTCTCATAGATTGAGCTTCATCCAAATCTTTTGTGTATTAAGCGGAAACATAAAGCATTTTATTTGGACACTCATACTGTATTAGGAAGTACTCTAGTACTTGTGGTTATTCATAACATGTTTATGAAACACTTACATAAAAAGGTAAGCAGAAAACTGCATGTGGTTAAAATTCTTGGATATTTCAACTTTTTGGCCGAATGGTAACACCTTTAATTACTAGCCCTCTCTTCCACTTCCCGCTTTGATATTCGTACAGAGAGAATTCAATTTCTGCATCCTTATTTGATGACGTATCAAACTGCCCTACTGGGATCTCTATCCATTGTCCCCTTGGCTTTTCCTTCAAGCTTTGTCTCTGTTCTTTTTTGTTTCCATCTGGGAGAACAAGTGTAAAGTTCACTGGAGCTTCCCACCCATAAGCAGGTTCTTTCAACATTATAACAAATATAACCTCATAGGTAACCCCTGGTGAGAGCTTTCGTGTTTCAAATTTTCCATTAACTTCCAGCCAGCAAACCTTTAGCAGTTCGGCAATGTCAACAAACACATCACTGCAAAAGGAGATGTAATCATTAAGAATCAAACTATATTAGATGAAACACTTGCGAATTCATTACATCTTAATTTTCATTCCAATGGACCAAAATTTGAAATTATATCTTCTTTTTGATATAATAAGCATAGAGAGACTAGTGGAATTGATTTAACTCTGCCTGTCAATCTTGTTAGGGTCATTGCCTGGCCAGGATTAGATATTTGGTCTACTTACTTGGTTTCTTTTAGGTAGGGCCAGTGCCAATAACGTTTGTCGTCAGACCAATTGATTGAGAGATTCCGTGCAAATAACATGAAGCAGTTGCTTTTAGACTTCTCGTCAACCCAATACTTCTGCATTTATAAGAAAATTTTGTGACCATTAACGGTAGCAATACTAATGACAATGGAAGGAAATGATAATGACAATTTTGAAACTTGTCCTGGCAATAGTGTCAAGACATTCAAGGCGATATCCAAAAAAAATAAAGAAATACTTTTTTCTTGAAATGTTTAATGTTGTGATTTCAGCCTCTTGGCATTGACATGAGACTTGCCTTCCTCTTCTGGTTCAAGAATACTCCACCATGAAGCTGACGATAGAGCTTCTCTGTAGAAGACTTGTCAACTGGTGAATCTGCATCCTTCACAATATCTTCGTAGGCATGAGGGAGGGGGAGGTTCAATTCTGGGGTGGTCTCAGTTGCCTTGTAATGAATGTCTTGGCTCTGTGATATTGTGTTCCTGGGTTCTTGACTAGACTGTGGAGCCTCATCTTGTGACCATCCTGCCCCCATCACCTCACTGTCTGAGACCTAGCTTGCATGGAAATCGTGCTTTTTTATAGCATGGCTGGGTTTAATTTGTGATAAATTCGTTGGCATGCATCATAGCTAAGTCTGCAAGTAGGTGCCGAAAGTGTCAGAATCTGGTTCCCCTCAATGGTATAGTATGGTAACAGAATCTGGTTCCCCTTAAGGTTAGGCATGCAATTGTTAAAACAACGTCCATCCACCCTAGCTACATAAGGTTGCACAAATAATTCCCACTCTTTTTACAAAATTAATTATTCCATGCATAAAGCTAGGTAGTGATAAGGCAGTAGTCATTCTATCTATCTTTATTCCTTACTTTTGACAAAGCGATGCTTGGAGAAGATGATGATGATCGATCGATTGATGTTCATCTTGCATTTTGCTTCCCTTATGGAAGAAGGAAGATAAAGATGCTTATCAATAGCTGGTGACATCATCCATAATGCATGGGCTGCTGGACTGGATTATTCTTTTTGAGTAAGGGTAAAACGCAAGAGACACCCTATGGACTATTAGGGTAAAAAAAAAACAAATAAAGCCCCTAAACTATGATTTTCTTGCAATTTATCCCATCCTACTACTATAAAAGGACGTAGTTTTGATCTTTAGCCTCTTAAATTGCTGACGTGGCTAGTGAAATCCGATCAAGCAATGGGAATGCAAGACGTGACATAAGATAACTTTTTATTTATTATTATTTATTTATTTTTGCGTAAAAAAACAAAAAAAAAACAAACTATTACACCCAACTCATCCTTCCTCATACACGACTGAATATTTCCGTCAACAATTTTTTTATTATTATTTTTTTGCCTAAAATCTCAACAATATATTCAACTATTTCTCCCGCAAATGCTTTCACTGGATATCTTCAATTCTCTGGACAAGCACAAATATATATAATTGAATTCCCTGTTTCTATGCAGATATCACAATTAAATATATGATTTACAAATTTTGATTGGCATGCCGGATCCGGATGGATAAATGTAAAACTAATAGCACTGCTATTCAAGCATTGAACCAATTTGCCAATTTCTTAAATATTATGATCTCATGTTATCTATGTGACCTATATACATCTTGGTCATTGTCATTAATTTTTGTATGCTTAATTTATTTATTTTATTACTGTATATCATAGAATAATACGTACATAAAAAGAAGCAAACAATTCATCAGTACTTGAAATTCAACTAAAATAGAAGTTGATACATGCACGCACCTAATATTATCATATCCGGCCAATTCAAAAATCAATCAAATATAGAAGCAATATTCTTACAACATCAAGTACAGGTTTAGTAGGTACGTTGTTCAACGTACAAAACATGCACAAATACTATCAAATTGTGTTTTTATTTTGACTTAATTTTAATACCACCAAGAACCATGCCACCCTTCCACCAGTCACTCTCAACTTCAAACATCCCAAACTCAACACCACTACTCCTACTTCCAATAATACCACTAGTGTTGTTTGAGTCGATTGTAAAATCTCCTCCAGGAACTTCATGCCACATGTCCTGTTTGAGCCTGTAGGGCTCAAGTAAAAGGGTGTGGTGGGTCTCTTGTCCTCCGTCCACTCTCACCTTGAACTTGATGGGAGCAGAGTGCCACCCAAATGCATCAGCCCTGAACTTAATTATATACAATATTGTGTATGTTTTTGCAGGTGAGAGTAGCGAGACAGCTGCCATTTTCCCTGTCACCACAAGCCAGTTCACTTGTAAAAGCACTGAACCTTCTTCAAACCCGATCAACCTGCAGCATGAATTCCGTCTTCTTATATTTATATACATTACACAAATTAACTACAGTAATATCCAACAAATAATTGATACATATTTAACTTGATTAATCTTACTGTTTATCCTCTTGGGTAAGTTTGATGTGGTCCCAATAACGGGGATCGTTGCCCCAGATGATGTCTAATGCTCTGGTAGGGATTCTGAGTGTAGTAGAATCTGCAGGGTCACTTATGAAAGAGTGATCCTTTTTAAATTAAAATAAGATAAGTAATCATTAAATTAGGGGATGTAATGGACATGAATAATTAAATTATGCATGAAATTAATGGGTGTGAACAAGTCCCAGGCTAAAAAAGGTTTGAGAGAGAGAGATTTACTTACACCCTTCAAGTGGGGAGAAGTGGAGTTACCATTTGCATGCTCATACTCCATTTGTTGGGAATATTATTATTATTAAAGTTGAAGATGAAGAAGAATGATGGGATGTACGTGAATTTATAAGTGTAGGATGGGATGGGACTAATTTGGACCCCCCTACCTATTGCCCTACCAACTTAAGTAAAGTAAAGCAAAGCCAAGTGGGGCACTACTTCACTTTTCATCTTTATCTTTCACCAAACCAATAACACAAATATATATATATATATATATATAAATGAAGGTAGCCCTTTTAATGAGGATAAATATGGCGTGAAGAGTAAACAACCAGAAGCCGTAGGTACTCTTTTGGAATAAGCTGGTTTTCAAGTTATCTCTAAACCCCACCCCCTTTACTCCTTTTTATCAACTCTCCTCGTGTACCACGAGGGAGGAATGGATACACCCCCACAAACTTGGTCCCCATCTCATTGGGGGCGATACCAACTTGTTAGGAAATAAACAAAAAATTTCAACCCTACCATCAAATGAATATGTGGCGAGCAAATCACCAATGACACATTTTGAATTTTAAATCGACTTTTTTTCTTTTTTTTTTTTGGTCATTGAATTTTAAATTGACAAACATAATGAATATTAGACGGAAGTTGAAGCATAAAAATGATCATTTTGTATAAAATAATATATTAAATGTGTGTATTGTGTGTTTTTTTTTTTTTTTTTTTCCCGAAAACTTGTTGTAAGCTAGACTAATACCCAGTGCAAATAAAGTAAATAAAATTTAAAAAATGATACCAAAATTTTGTGCGTGAAAACCCTAATTAAAAGAAAGTCAACCAATCCGGATGAAAATCACAGAGTCGGCTTTCATTGTCCCAAACAAAATAATCCACTATCTTTGTGGCAAAGTGTGGCAACCTTATGGGCGGGTGTGCAGTGGATAGGTGTAAGAGGCATTGGTAAGGCTACCACACTGGGTGAATTACAGGTGCACAATCCCACATTGTCTGGGTGTGAAAAAGAAGAAATGTTATATATATATATATATGTGTTACTCCAATTGGTATGAGGTCTTTTGGAGTAAAATTCAATAACAAAATCGTGCAAGTTCAGACCCAAAACGAATAATATCATACTATGTGGTGGAATGGGTACTTTGTGATTCAAGCTCACATTCACTCTAACAACTCTACTGGTTGTTAAACATTCCAATAGTCAAAACATTTTTATTTTTAAAACTCTAAGAGCATCTAGCAGTCTTTTAAAATAGTATTTTGTGTAAAATATACACTGCCACGTATAATGTATAAATTTTTTTTTTATCTTCAGCAGTCTGCTAAGATACACAAATGTGTAAAATTATTATGTATTTTACACAACCTTTTTACACAGCCACCTCAGTATATTTTATTTTTCCTCTCTCTTTCTCATCCTATTAACGAATCAACCCTATATTAAGACGGTTTGTAAAATTAATATGGGGTCCAGGTATGTTAATTGTTATTGTGGGATGTATTTTTACACAAAAGATATAAAACAATCGTTGGAGCTAAAAATAAATAATCTAATTTTTTTGTGTAAATCTATTATGACACATCAGATTTACAAAAATATATATATATATACACAGCGGTTGGAGATACTCTAATTATTCCAGAGAGTTTATATAAAGTAGGACTACTCTACAAGTTTGGATAAAAATAGAAAATTAAAAAATTACCAAAATCTGATTTTCACACACAAGTACAAACAATTCTACTTCAAAGTGTGACCAGTTTTACTTTTCTTGAGACATATTTTCTCGCAGGAAGTGCAACCGATTCAACTTCCAAGTGCAACCGATTGTAAATATACTTTCACCAACAATGAATCATTTTTCTCAATTCTTACCTCACCAAACTTGAAATATAAAGTGTCCTCACCAAATAATGTTGTTCCTCGAATCGAAATATGCTTGCACACTAAAACACTTGTAATTCAACTTTCGATACCGAGACTCAAAGCAAAACAAAAGTACCTGTTGGAATAATTGTGGAGTGTCATTTCCTTTTTTCAATAAATGGATGTGGAAGTATTAAAGTGGAGTGCAAATGTCATCTACCAATCTTGAATCACACATATTAATGCTTAAATTAAAAATGCGACAACCCATCACAAGATTCAAATTTAAAAAAGGACTAGAGAAGTTAGAGAAAGCACAAAACAAAGTCCACTAACACTTAAGTATAATGTCTATTTGACTTGACCACTATGTATAATAGTACTACTTTTTAATGAAACTATGCTCTTTGAATCAAACTCCTGTAATTCCTGCAGCGCACACAACATTTTACAAGTACAATAATCCTTCATGTGATTCAGGTTGCAATATGACGTTCATAAGATTCTTATTGTAATGACTCAAAACTAATACTTTTTAAACAAAAAAATATTCGGCATGACCTCCCCTAAAAATAGGCCTATCACAACCTGTTTAATTGCATTTTTAACCTGTCATGGCTCAAATTCCGAATTCACGGCAATAAAAGATAATGATACAACCAACTAATCTAGACAATGCTTCAAACTATGATTATCCATCAATTCATCAACAAGTTGCATACTATCAAATCCCCATCCAAAACATCATCAATACTTTAGTTATATTACATGACAAAGTTCCACAAAATAATTATACATCTTTGCACTTCTAGTGTTTTACAAAATAATGGGGAATATACAAAGATACAAAAGTGGACTTCTAACGCCGTTCAAGCTTGAGGTGGGTTGTCATCCACCAGTTCCTTTCCAAGACCTGAAAAAATATATATATAGATATAGGGGTGAGCATATAGCTCAGCAGGTGACACTTAAGACACAATTCTTGTGTCCTAGTGAATCCAAATAAAGCATAGGCCAATGGGAGATTGGGGACATGCATTGAAGGGGAAAAATAATTACAAGTACAAGTCAAATTCAATCACACACAAATGCAAATGGAGTGAGATGCAATGCATGCTAAAGTCACTCCCCGTTTTCATTCTCAAAACCATCACGTTCAAAGTTAATGTAACCCCCTTTGGTAACCCCGCTGTGACGAGAGGAGGATTGGCTACCGTCCCTAGGCCCTTGGTGACCCCGTGGCGCTGTAGAGGGGCCCAAATAGCTCAACCACGCTAGGGTACTCTCCCTAGTCCTCCCTAGGCTACATTAACTTCCGGCCCGTTGGTAACCCCGCAGCGACCGGGTTTGTCAAAACCAATTTTTTTTTTTTTTTTTTTTTCTTCCAAAACATTCATTCCCAAATCCCCATTTTCATTTCAAGACAACCACTTCCCTTTTTCATGCAACCCAATGAGATGTAGGCTCATGTCATGATCTCAATATAATGACAAATGGGAACTTAGCACAATAATAAATAAGCATGTTCTCATGGCATCATTATAGCATGTTAGTAACCTCAAAAAAAAATGTAAACAACCATCACATAGATATACTTTTCATTCAACCATGTTATACACATTTACATAACTAGCATGTTGTCAATTAAATCATTTTAATCAAAATCAACAACAATTAAACATGCTATAACACACATAGAGGAGCATGATTCATTATAGAGCAAGATTCCATGGCTTAAGATGTCCCTACCTCACAATCCAAGCCTAAATCCCTAGAATAGGTCCTCCAAATTCGAGCTCCAAGGAAGACTCAAATCTGGAAATTGATAGTATGGATGCGTAGAGCTCGCTACAAGCTTCATTTCGCCTCAAACGGTTCCTAAATCCGATGAAAGATGATTGAGTAATCAAACCTCAAAGTTTTTGTCTCCAAAATGAAAGAAAAAGAGAAGGAACCGAGAGGGAGAGAGAGCATACGGGAAAGAGAAAGAAAATGAGAAAGAAAAGAAGATTTCTTGGCCAAATAAGTTAGTGGTGGGCCCCACTTGAAATTATTTTCCTTTTCTCTTTATTTTTTTTTTGTCTCTAATTACACCACAAATACACAATTGCACCATACAAATGCTACATCACCACATAAATTAAAATGTAGGAAATGTAACTGGACCCAACCACAAACCCAGATGTAAAGTGAAAAGACGAAAATGCCCTTGCATTAACGAATTTTCAGAAAATTCTAAAATGCTGAAAATTAGAATTATCACAATCTTCCCAACTTATAAGGATTTCGTCCCCGAAATCAAGACATACCTGAGGAAGAAAACAACGCTGGGTACTTAGACCGAACCTCCTGTTCGAGCTCCCAAGTAGCCTCCTCGACTCCGTGGTGTCTCCAAAGGACTTTCACCATTGGTATCGTCTTGTTCCTCAACACCTTCTGCTAAGTGTCAAGGATCTGAACTGGTCCTTCCTCGTAGGAAACATCCTCATCAATATCCACATCAACCCAACTCAAAATGTGAGATGGATCCGGCTCGTACTTTCGTAACATCGATACATGAAAGACATTGTGAACTCTGTCCATCTGTGGTGGTAAAGCAAGTCTGTAGGCAACCTCTCCTACCGATCCAAAATCTCGAATGGTCCAATAAATCGTGGCGATAACTTGCCACTCTTCCCAAATCTCATCAACCCCTTCCGTGGAGAAACCCGTAGAAAAACGTGGTCTCCCACCTCAAAGGATAACAGTCGTCTCCGCTTATCCGCATAGCTCTTCTGTCGGCTCTGAGCTGTAAGTAACCTCTGTCTTATCAACTTAATCTTCTCAGTAGTCTCGAGTACAATGTCGGGTCCTAAGGCGGCTGTCTCGCCTACCTCAGTCCAACAAACAGGAGACCTACAAGGTCTACCATACAACGCCTCAAATGGAGCAATCTGGATGCTCGCCTGATAACTGTTGTTGTAGGCAAACTCAATAAGTGGAAGGTGATCCTCCCAACTACCTCCCAAATCAAGTACACATGCCTGAAGCATATCCTCCAAAATCTGGATAGCATGCTCTGACTGACCTTCTGTCTGTGGATGGAATGCCGTACTAAGATGCAACGCTGAACCAAACGCTGCTTGAAGTCCTTCCCAAAACTTCGAAGTGAACTTAGCATCCCTATCTGACACAATGGTTACAAGGACTCCATGTAACCTTACAATCTCTTTCACATAAAATACACC